AACTTAAAACATAAATAATATATATAATTGTTATTGGTATAATATTTGATGTCATATTTGAAGATGATAAAGAAAAATTGACACTAAAACACCAAATTTGGTATAATTTCAATTACTAAATTCGATGTTATAGTTGGAATTGTCAAAAATTGCGTTTTGACTCTATACTAGCCAACATTACCTCTTATCAAGAAACTCATAAAATTTCACACGTGTATGCTTAGGGCATGTTTATTGCATGTCCCTTAAGCTAAAGGACCGTACGCTAAGAGACCCAGCTTTAAGGGATGCAATAAACATGCTCTAACTTTAACTTCATTATATACGGCGTTGTGAGAAGCTGATGGTGCAATCTAACTTTTAACTTGTCTAAACATTTACCTCCCTGTGATAAGTTAAGCCGTTATTCTCATCTTCTTGTGACAAAAAGAAAAAAGGAAAGATTTAGGTCTGACTGGTTACAACCCAGCGATTGCGGTTGCGGTTGCGGGCGTTTGGGGATGGGAAGAGATTTATACGACTGGTTCAACGGTTAAAAATTGTTGCGTTTGCGGGATACTTATGACTGGTTTATCATCAAATACAACAGCGGTTAAGTAATAAATTAACAATATTTATATTTTATATAATTATCAAAATATTAAAATCATATTTTCATGATAAATATAAAATTTTTATTGAAAAAAACTGCACTAATAATTTTTTTAAAATTAAAGAAACTTTTTTTGGAAATTTTTATAATAAAAATATTTCAGTATTTCAATTATTTTAATTTAATATTTTATTTTTATATTTATATAGTTTTTTGGAAACAAATATTTTTATCCTCCCGCAAACTCCCGCAACTGCAAACGCTAGCTGAAACCAGCTTTTGAATTTTAGAGATTCAAAGCAATTTGAAGTGGTTTATAGCGTTTTCTGTGATTGTTGCAAAACATCAACAACCGCTACCAACCGCAAAAGCTGCGTTTGCGGATGATGGCGGGAGAATCAGTCAGGCCCTTATTTTCATCTTGAAACGTGGCGGTTCATCTTCTCTTAAGCTTTGAATGATATGCAAATCAAGAAAGCGTAGATAAAACACAAAATATAGATCAAGAAAAATAAATTCAGATCAAACAGATCAAGTTAAACTAATGCAGATCTAACTAGTTAAACTAATTTATCGACTTAACATATTTTACCAAATGTTAAACAATAATTTTAAAAATTAAATATCTGAAAAAATATTAATTCCTATCAATATCTTTTACTCCCTCCGTTTCAGATTATTTGCCATTCTAGGTTTTTACACACAGATTAAGGAAACATTTAATTTTACATATTTTCAATATAAAAACACAATTACCAATACACCTAACCACTTTTCAACCAATAGAAAAATAGAATATCATATAAACATAATAAATTTTGTCTCGAAACTCTAAAACGACACTTTTTTGAAACGAAATTTTTCCTCTAGAATGACATCTAATTCGAAACTGAGGGAGTATTATTTTAATAAATATATGCATGTGTTATAGTACATCTAATAAATTGTTTTAAAATATTTATTGATTATAAAAATATTTTCACTTATACATAAATAATACATGTAATATAAATAACATGCATAAATTTAAGAAAATAATATATATGAATTTTAGTAAATAAATGATTAAAATACATGCATATGTTATAATATATTTATAGAAAATAAGTTAATTTTAAATGAGTATTTTTAAATTTGAATTTTAATTGTCAACATATTAAAATTTCATAATTTATTGAAAAACAAATAATAATGTACCTTAATAGTTTAACTGATTTTATTATATGTACATATATGCGATACCCTAAAAAAATGAAAAACTAGTTAAACACAATATAAAAATACATGACTATATTATAGGGATTTTTCAAAAATGACTCAAAACTCCAAGTCAAACATAAAACTAACTTTTTGGACATTTTCTTTGTCCAATCCACCCTAGAAGTTCTAATTATTTATAAAAATGCCATTAATTTTATTTACATTTGTTATTTTTTGAAAATGAGTGTTTTACTCTCGCATCCTCATCTTCATCAGTTAATCACGAAAATTCCATTACCATCAATTCACCCAACAACCATAAACAACCAAAATGAAGCTCTTAATGCATCTAAAAACAAAATTTACTCATTTGTTCGCATAGTTTATGCTTAAAAACTACATCTCTCTAACTTTTATAGTTATATTCATACAAACAAATCCAAACTTTTTGATTCTAAATTTTTTGAGAGTCATATAGCTATTCAAACTCACGATTTCTGGTCATTAACGATTGCATAGATGTTCTAGTGAAGTTCTGTGTGTTTGGGAAACTAAGCAAGTTCTCTCAGGGCTTGAAAGTATGAATTGATTTTTTTCCAGATTTGTTCAATAGAAGACTTGCTTTTGTAAGTCTTCTCATTCTAGAGGACTTCCACGGAAGTCTTCTGGTCAAAGAATATGTTAGTTTTGCAACTGAATTTTTGTGTGTTTTTTAGAAACGAATGTGGTGGAAATTTTTGAATTTTCTTTGTTGGCAAACAAAAATTGAGAAGACTTACGTGGAAGTCTTCTCGAAAAATAGGTTAGTTTTGCAATTGACCAATCTGTGTCAGAAATTTGACTTTCTACGGAAGACTTCCAGGTAAGTCTTATCTGGAAGTCTTCTCAACCTTTACATTAAGTCTTCTGAAGTCTGCGTAGGTTACTACTTTGCAATTGAAAATTTAACCTTAAAATATTTAATTTAAATTGGAAGACTTCCAGGTAAGTCTACAGGGCAGAAAACTTACTTTGAAGTCTTCTAGATAAGTCTTCTGCCAGAAGACTCACCTGGAAGTCTTCCAGATTTTTATTCCGTGATTCTGGTCAAATCTAAGGTAATCAAAGAAGACTTACCTATAAGTCTCCTAGCCGGAAGACTTACAGGTAAGTTTTCTCAACAAAAGTAAAATACAGCCAATTGCAAAACTAACCTACGCAGACTTCAGTAGACTTAATGTAAAGGTTGAGAAGACTTCTAGGTAAGACTTACCTGGAAGTCTTCCGTAGAAAGTCAAATTTCCGAAACAGATTGGTCAATTGCAAAACTAACTTGTTTATCCGAGAAGACTTCCAGGTAAGTCTTCTCAGGTATTTTCGAGAGTCTTTTTATTAGAAAAGTAAGCCAATAATTACATAGGAAAACTTCTAGAGAAGTCTTCTATAGAGGAGACTTTTCTGAAAGTCTTCATTTGAAAATTTTCAAGAAGTCTTCTATAGAGGAGACTTTTCTGAAAGTCTTCCTTTGAAAATTTTCAATTGCATAAATGACCTAAACAGAAGACTTACCTGGAAGTCTTCTTGAAAATAAGTCTTCTACGACAATGTATAATAAATTTTCATTTCCTTCATATTTAAAGTGAATTCTTAAGATTTTATTGCTAATTCATGTGTTTTAGACAATATTTGGGATCCTAAATAAAATTCATCACTTAATTGGTGATAATTAGGAGGTTACCAACATTCATGTTTTTTAATATTTCTAGCTAATGATAAAAGACTTCCAAGAAAGTCTTTTTCCACATTAGTTTTTGTAAACTTATATTTTTAAGAATGTTCAGTCATTTAAAATAAGTTTTTTAACTTTCAAAAATGTTAAATAATTTCAATATAATGTGTACATGAAAATACAGTAATTTTGGTCTCTCTGGTGAGTCTGATCTTTAAGGTATGGCGCGACTAAGAACAGCTAACAATAGACTTCAAGAGCATCCATCGGCACAATCAGACCGTCATGCCAGAGGGCAAACACCCGCATTGACAAACCGAGCATTTATTGGAGACGGAATAGTTACAGAAAACGAAAACCATCCAAAACGCGGGATTCAAAATTACCGCCTAGCACCAACCCAAAGCTTCAAGACTTGCAAAGAGCAGAAAGGCTGCACCACCACACAAGTTCAAGTGATCTTATGCAATGCTGGGATGTGAGTAAATCCAAGCGTGCCACAGGGACGACCAACGACTGCAACCGAGAACCGCTACACCACTTGAAGTCTTCGAGAACCGAAGAAGTAAAATTCTAAGTTGAAAGAACCAACTCTGACACCAGATAGAATCAGAGCATCGTAAAAGAACAAGGGCACCACTCCACAAGAAAGCATCAGCCTTCAATCATAGCATAACGGAGAAGCACCGAACAGAGGAGTTTTGAAAAGACGACTCATAGTGAAAGACCATCCAGGAGTCATAGACGACAGTACCCTCTGAAACCTTAACCCCACAAATAGACCAGAGTGAACCAAGTACCATCTCCAGCCTGCGTACATGGACCCAAAGACCATCTCCATGGTAGCAAAACCCACCGGATTCCGATAGAGAGGAAACGAAACAAGACAGCACCGCCATACTCCAAACACCTCACATCGGAGCCACTTAACCACCAAACAAACTGGAAAAAATCCTCCGAGAAAATATAAGGATAGAGAAGCCAAACCTCACCCACTCAAACAGCAAAAACCGAATGAACGTATGGAGAAAACCGGTCAACTTTAACCCAAAGAGCTGACCATTACCTGGGATACCATCCTCACCAGAAAACCAGAACAAACTACGAGGCAACCGGAATCCAATATCCTCGCGCACGGAGTCAATTCCATTAAACCACGACCATTTCTGTGTATGTTTAGTGTTCTCATTTTGTTTTGTTTTAGTGGTAAGCAAAATGCGGACTTAAACTCTCACGTGGATGTATTGATGGCTTATACAGCTAGCTTTCTTTTGGATCAAAATGCAGTTACGCTTTTTTATTTCTTTATTCACATGATCACAATAAGATATCTTTTCTAAATTTTTAAGTGATTTTTCAATTTGGAGAAAATTATAAACAAACTGACATAGGAGTATTCCAGTCTTTTATTTTGATATAATTTCATTTTAAGAGATACAAATTTGATTTAAAATTAGGTTTAAAGAGATTTGTAATAATATCTGAGGAGAGAATGTATATGATGTTTTGATCTTTCTTGGATTCCATGTGATCCCGCCAACACAAAACTCTTTTCTCGGTCGTTTCGCCAGATCATTTGGACATCAGAAGCGTCGTAGATATTTATGAAGAAGGGAGGAGATTGATGATGCTTTGTGGTTCTTTGCGAGATCGAATACAGCCTTGGCTTCGCGACTATGTTAAACTCCAATCTCTCGCCGTCATCCTCATCTACGCTCAGGTCACCCCTCTCTCCCTCCCTTCGAATCTATTTTGGCTAGGTCTAGGGTTCACATCGATTTCGATATTATTTTTCCAGATTGGTTGCGCTCTGATTGGATCACTAGGAGCCTTATACAATGGAGTCTTACTAATAAACTTGGTGATTGCGTTGTTTGCGCTAGTGGCAATCGAAAGCAATAGCCAAAGCCTTGGCCGCACCTACGCTGTTCTCCTCTTCTGTGCTCTTCTTCTCGATATCTCATGGTTCATCCTCTTCACCCAAGAGATTTGGTATTGTAAAATCCTCTCATCTAAGCTTTTCACCTTTTGGAGACATTATTGTTCATATTATATCATCCTTTGATGAAGCAGGAGCATCTCAGCTGAGACGTATGGGACTTTCTTTATATTCTCAGTGAAGCTAACTATGGCTATGGAGATGATTGGTTTCTTTGTCAGGCTCTCTTCTTCTCTCTTGTGGTTTCAGATTTATAGGCTTGGTGCTTCTATTGTAGACACTTCGCTTCCCCGTGAAACGGATTCGGATTTGCGGAACAGCTTCTTGAATCCGCCCACTCCTGCTATAGACAGGCAGTGTTCAGGTGCTGCTGAAGAAATCTTGGGTGGTTCTATCTACGACCCTGCCTACTACACCTCTCTTTTTGAAGAGGTCCAATCCAATATGAGTTCACCCATCGCAGCACAGGTGTTTTTTTTTTCGATTTTCTACTCTCCCACTTGTCTATGTGCTTACCATTTTGTTATCTCTTTCGAGTTTTTGTATTTTTATCTGCTCAAGTTTCTCAATTTGTATTTCTTCATGCTTAGTTACTCTATTAAGTCATCCATCTACAAAGTGTGTCCATGATTCTTCTGAATGGTATTAGCTTTAGTGCATCTAGTGCTTTATACTGGGTCTGGGATAAATTAGGCTAGATAATTCTCTCCCTTTAACTCTATGTCCTTCTGTGAGACGCAAAGAAAGAACAAGAGAACTTAGTAATGGTAATCTCCTGTTTTAGCAGACACTACATGGTGATACAGTACTGATACTAATGAGAAGTCTCAGCTAACAGCATTGAACAAGTCACTCAGTCTATCCATTTTTTTCATATTTGTATCTTTTTTTGTAGGTGAATCATTATTCAGCTGAGAACAATGGATCACCATCTGCAGAAGAAGCCTCTCAGATTAAGTCCCCCACATCCAGATCATTGCATGCAATTGATGTTAGTCTCCATTGATTTTACATTTTTTATGTCTCTTGGTCGTATTGCGCTGTGTCCTGTTTCTCTGGTATCACATATAGTAAGACAACACTCGTTTCAATTATTTGTAGGAAGAGAAAGGTTTGAAGCAACTGCCGGGGAAGTCTTCATTATGAGCGAAACCTCCATTCAAGGAAGGTGGTGCTATCTTAGCATATCTAAACAAAGAAGTGTCTGCTTTGCATTAGCTGAGGTTTAGGATTTGAAGCAGATGCGCAAGTAGTATCCCGTAAGTGAGAGAATCATGAAATAGTCTCCATGTTCGTACAAAGGACAAGAAGATTATATACCCACCATGCCTGCCAGAAGATGAGATTCTATATGTTGACAACAAGTAAGCACCGTTTTTTATGCTTTTTCGGTTATTTATTTTGTATGAAAACATTTATTTATTTGGGGATTATGTGGTTAGAATAGAGTCAGAATCTACTCCGGGTTTATCTTCTTTGTGTGTAAATGGAGATACTTTTTTGTTTTGTTTTCAATGGAGATAGTATAAAGATTCGGGGCGTTGTTATGTCTTGTCATTGTTTGTTTGTTTGATATGAGTTTAGAAGGAGATTATCTTGAGAACAGAAAAATACTTATAAACTACAGCTCGAGTCTTGTGGATTGCTCAAAAGCGTTGATGAGCATGAAGATTGTAGTTACATGTTGCAGAGAGACATGGTATGAGAGGAGATTGTTTTGCAGGATCGGAGGGTTGTACATGGTTTAAATCCGGTCCATGTGATATGAGGTTTGGACATGTTTTGAATCCGGTTAATATGGAAATGGGGTAGTGGTTGATGCGGTTTGGAGACTTTATCGAGTTTTCATAAATTGAGAGTTTGCTCAAAACATGCCATTGTTCGGTTTTTTTTTTTTTTCTACAACTTTAATCACACCCAAGTCTTGTATCCGAACTCGCACCGTTTAAACCCATAGAATAAAAATATGAAAAAAAAAGTCCCCGAGAGAGTCGAGCTAAAAAAGCCTACTGTATTAAATAAAACCCAAAATTAATGAACTTCAATAAATAATGTTTTGGAGAAAAAGTCGAGTGATTTAATTAATAAAAGCATAACTAGATTTTGATCCGTGCAACTGCGCGGGTGTTTGTTTTCGTTTATAGTTAGTTATATAGACCTTTTGTTTTCACTTGTAAATTGATATATATTATAGTAATCACATATTTACGATATATATAGTAAATGTTTTCCAAACATAATAATATTATATAATAAGTGTTTTAATCAAATAGTTTTTTTCAAATTTTCTATATTATACATGTTTTTCAAACATGTGTTTGTTTCTTCTTCTATATTTTATTGTTTGTTAGATTTAGTATTTCATTTTTAGATAAAGTAATATAAATAGAGTAAATATTAGTATACTTTAATTTTCAAAGATAATATAAATTTCGAAGAAATTTTTGCTAAAAACTAAATTTATAGCTTTATAAATTAATATTATAAAAAAATTTATTAAATAGATTTTTTTAAACAATTTCTTTTTTTTTAAACAATATAATTAAAAATTTTACATCGAAATAAATTTATCTAATATATATAGCGTGTAAATTTTGTTAGGGTATATAAATATTTCATATTACCAATCTGTGATTTTTGTTAATATATTGTGGATGCATTTAACTGTTATTGACATATTTCCTTATAAATAACAGAAAATACCTAAACTTATATCTATTAACATATTTAGCGTGACAAAATTGGAAGGTGTGGGGTAATTTACCAAAACCAAATTGTTAAGCGTATCTTTGTTATTATAGATATGATTTTTCATAAGATATAATAATGATAAAATTATTAGAGAGTTAAGGTAACATAACTTTCTAGTAATAGTCCACTTTTAAAAAAATCACACATGAAATCAAGTCATGACTTCTGTTTTAATATATAAGATGTTCTTAAAAATTTATTGAAAATTTTGAAATTAAAATATTTATGTAATCTTATATGGTATATAGTTTAATCTGTATATTTATATATTTGTTTTATTATTGAATGATATTTTTTACTTATAGTTTTTAAAATCATGTAGATCTTTTTATAATAAAATGTTAAACTATTGATCATTAATTTTTAACATAATAATTTTAATAGTGTAGTTATTTATTCTCGTTTCTTAAAATTCAAAATATAACCTATACGAAAAAATCTAAATTTTAATTTTATAGCTAATCTGATTGTTTAATTTATTTTAATAATATAAATTAAAGAAAAATGATGGAGGATATATAAACTATTATCAAATATTTATTATTAGAATCATTAAGTGTCATATATATATATATTAGTAATTTATGGTAATTTCGTAGGTTTTATTTATGGAAATAAAATAAAATAGTAATTATATCTTAGGGAACAATCATTAAGTGTCATATATATATATTAGTCATTTATGGTAATTCCGTAGGTTTTATTTATGGAAAGAAAATAGCATATTGTTGGGCCCGAATTTAGCCCGCTAGCTGAATTGATGGGCTGGATATTTCAAACTACCTATCGGACATTACGAGCCCATTAGAAAGCCTTTCCCAAATAAGAATTAAGTTGAATCGTTACCTATCAACAGAAACAGGTCACGAACAAAAGACTCGGGACCTCGTTCACAAACAGCTGGCGATAAAACAGCTCCAGGAGAACGAGCAAGACTCAGTCAAGAGGAAGTTGTTGCGAATCCCGCAGCTCATGGAGGAAATCTCGGAGGCTTCGCCAGAAAGAGTTGGACGTGACCTAGAACTATATAAAGAGATAAAGAGATCAGAGAGAGGGGGCGATTCATCCAAGATCAAAAGACTCTAAATACACTTTGTTCTTAACCATTTTTCTATCGATCATCATTCATTCTACTAGATCATAAAGATCATCCTTGTAAACTCTTTTATCATCAAAATTAATATAAGCAGTGTATTCATTCATACAAGTTCCAACAGGATTCAGCCCACGATTATCTTTTCCCAATCTATACCTAACCTAAAATTAGGAAGTGAGTTTTACCCCTCACATTTTAGCGCCGTCTGTGGGGACGAGATAATTGAATCCTTCACTCCATAACTTGAGAATGGATCCATCCAACCAGGCAACGAATCCATCCATCCCGGATCCCGTGATCCAGATCGACGGATCACCGAACAGAAGAGATCCGGACCCTCAGGATCCGGAACCTCAACCCGCTGACCCTCGATCCGAGCAACAGCCTCCGGCTAACGCTCAACCGAACCGAACTGGGATAGCTAACCCAAGGTCTTCCGGTGGAAACAACACCGGAGCTACTCCTCCCGAAAACCCTCAACGCCAACACACTCCGCATCATTCGGAAGCTCAGCTATCCGAAATGCACCGAATGATGGTGCAGTTGGTAGAAAGAGCTCAGGACAACGAGCGTACCTTGCAACAGCTAACTGCCCGGCAGCAACGGTTCGAAGAGGTGACGAGATCTCTAACCGAGACAACTCAGCCGTCGCAACGCCAAGGCTCAGGAATCGCCTTTCGAGATCGACTCACCGAAGCCACGTTCCCTCGCGGACGCCTGAACTTTTCCCCCAACAGCATTGCTCATAATGGGCAAGAGCCTGTTCTCCGGACACCCCTTACCGGGACATCCCCAGTATTTAGTCCACCCGTAACTAGTGCTATGGGAAGTAACATAACGACGACTAGCTCAGCGCCCAATAGGGTTCACGAACGCAGCACCCGATTGCCACCTCCGCCACCTATCTTTAGGTCCGGAGAAGGGATGTCTCCCCCTCCAAGAGGCAGGGCACCAACCTCATCTTACCAAAATGGAAGCACGATCTCTAACCGAGACAACCCGAGGACGGAAGCTGATCCCACAGCTCACCCCCTGGGTCACGTCCCTCAAAATGGCTCTAGAGCTAACGAGCGATTTAGTCCATCTAACGCTTGGGACAACGGCAACACTCGACTCCATCAAGAATCTTCTCATCAGGTTCCCCGCGAAGACCCAACTGTCCTTCCTCTAGAAGGACCTGAGGCTATTCGCCGATACATGGAGCAAACTCACGCAGCCCTCCAGAAGCTGAACGCTCAAGTGCATAAAGCAACAAGCTCAGCTCCCGAAATCGAGAGCTTGATCGAGGAAACCCGTGGAACCCCATTCACAGACAAAATCGCTAGCTCTTACATAAGNAACAAGCTCAGCTCCCGAAATCGAGAGCTTGATCGAGGAAACCCGTGGAACCCCATTCACAGACAAAATCGCTAGCTCTTACATAAGAGATACCCGAAAGATTAGGATTCCCGAATACGACGGGACCTCAGACCCCAAGGCTCATTTGAGAGCCTTCCGCTTAGCTATAGTGAAAGCTCATTTCACACGAGAAGAATGCAAAGCAGGTTACTGCAGGACCTTTGCTGAGAACCTGGTCGGAACAGCTCTCGAATGGTTTTCGAGCCTCGAGCCGAACTCAATCGATAACTTCGACCAGCTCACTGACGCCTTCATGAAACAATACTCGACCCATATCCTTAAGCAAGCCTCCGAGGCCGACCTTTGGAAGATCAGGCAAGGAATGGGGGATTCGCTACGAATCTACATCGAGAAGTTCAGAGCAGTTAGAACTAAGCTCTCGAACCCCAACGATCAAGTGGCCATCGAAGCCCTTAGAAGAGGACTCTGGTATAAATCAGAGTTCTGGTCCGAGCTAACGCTTAACCCTCCTTCAACTATCGACGACGCTCTTCACAAAGCATCGAGATACGTTACCTTGGAGGAAGAAACAGCTGCATTAGACAAAATCCATAAGAAATCCCAGAGTCACCCTAAAGGTGAGACCTCGGAAACGAAAGGACCCTCTAGGAAAGGCAGCTCCCGAAACCATCAAACCCAGGGAGAACACTCGTATGTTGTCGACGAGGTCCAACAGGAAAAACCTGTTGCTGCGACAAGCAAAACTCCCTGGACAAAAGGCTACGATGAGAACAAACACTGCTCCTATCACGATCGAAAAGGGCACTCAACCGAAGAGTGCTGGGACCTCCAACGACAGTTGGCAGCTAAATTCGTAGCTGGAGAATTAAAGGACGTGGAGCTAAAGAAGCCACCTCCTTACCAGAAAAGAGGTCCCAGAGACACCTCCCCGAAGCGCGAAAGATCTCCTGAGAAGGAAACAGATTCGCCACCGCCAGCTCCCAAGAAAAGAGTCGACATGATTCTCGCGAAATTTCCCCAAGGGAAGAGTCTACAAATCGAGACCCTCCTAAGCAAACCCCCACCTCAGTCGAGTCCTAGCTCAAGAGTGGACTATATCCTCGGAGGCTCCGACATATGTCAAGACTCAGTTAACTCGATCAAGAGCCACGTGCGGAGGGCCGTATCTAAAGCCCAATCTAAACCTCCCAGTCCCGAAAATAATACCAAGATCTCTTTCTGGGAGAGCGAAACGTCAGACCTCGACAGACCTCACGATGACGCTTTAATCGTCACCCTGAACATAGCAGGTTACGAGGTGCCTAAGCTGATGGTCGATACTGGAAGCTCGGTCGA